AGAGGAGGAGGAAGGGTTCAGGTTTGATGCCATGATTAATAATAATAACAATAATAATAACAACAACAACAATAATAATACAAATAATAATAACAATAACAATAATAATAACAACAATAATAATAATAATAACAATAACAATAATAATAGTGACAAGAACAATAATTATAACAATAATAATAAATTAATATATAACAATAACAACAACAACAACAACAATAACAACAACAACAACAACAACAACAACAACAACAACAACAACAACAACAACAATAATAATAATAATAACACTAACAAATTAAAATAACGTTGAGTTAGATCTTACAACGACGCTTCGATTGCTTTCCGCTAATTAATTTCCTGAACTTATAATTCTTTTTTATTAATTTTTATAATTGAGAGAATTAGAGAATTAAAGGTTATATGAGATTTTTTTTTTTTTTTTTTTTGAGAAGTAGAGATTATAAGATAGTAGGAATTAGAGAATTAGAGAATAAGAGATTTGAGAATAGATAAGGTGATAAATTGTGGAAAAAATGGAGGAAGAAGTGAAGTATATATAGGAAAAATGATGAATTAGCTGTTAGAGTGGTTGTTGGAATATAGCCGTTAATATGGATGTTACAATATAGCTGTTTATGGCTGTTGGAAGCTGCGGAAAGTAGCCGTTATGCACGGGTCGTGTCGTGCCGGGCCGTGCCTGGTAGGGGTGTTCAGATCCGGGTACCCAGATGTTCGGGTAGTTGATAAGTCGGCCCGTGTCCCGTCCCGAATAATTCGGGTACCCACTGGGTACCCGAATTATCCGAGACGGGACACGGGTACTCGGATTTTATTTATCCAAGAAAGGAGTGAATCGAGAAACCCAAAACGTACCTCCTCTCCTCCTAAGCCACCATCCAAATCACCCCACCACCACCGCAATTCACCACCCACCACCACCGCAATTCACCGCGCACCACCACCTAAATTCACTCCACCACCACCAAAACCTCCCACCAACCCAGATCCACCACCGAAACCCCAAACCCACAACGAACCGATAACCCAACACCACCAATAGCCACAACCCACAATCGAAACCAACCCAACCAAACCCCAGCCACACCAAACCAAAACCACCACAACCAAAATTTAACCAAAAATAATGAAATTTACCAAAAAAAAAAACACGATAATTACCAGAAATCATATCATATAAATAGATTTATTAAAAATTCAAAAAAAAGAAAGAAAATTGAAAACAAGAAAGCATACCTTTTAAATCGAAAATTGCCTTGAATTTCACCTCGGATTTGGTTTAAAACGGTCAAATTCGACCATGAAAACTCTAGATCTAGAGTTTTCATCATTAAAACCTTCGTTTTGGCCAAATTTTGCGAATTTTGTGACGAAAACCATCGTTTTGACCATGAAAACCGAAAGAAAGAGAAAAAAAGAGGAGAAAGAGAGAGGCGTGAGAAAGAACAGAGGAAAGAGAAAGAAGGGAGGAGAGGTGAAAAGGAGAGCAACGTGATTTCACTGAAAAGGAGGAAAGAGAAAGCAAAGAGGAGAGGAGAGAGAAAGAGAGTAACAGGGGGAGGAGGAGAGAGAAAGAGGAGGATGGGGCTGAAAAAGAAAGAGAAGAAGATAGGGTGTGGGTTGGTAATGGGTATCCGGGTTTTTGAATTTTTGAGTTTATTTATTTATTTTGTTAAACGGGTATCCAGGTACTTGATAATTGCAATGCTTGTCCCATGTCCCAGCCCATGAAAGTGCTATTTTACTAGGACGGGTACCAGACCCGAAAAAAATAGAAAATTTTGAAAATTTCCTGTCGGGTTTTTTGCGGATCGTCGGGAAATCGGGACGGGACAACCGGGTCGGGTTTTATTTAACACCCCTAGTGCCTGGCAGGCCGCGTGTCGTGCTGAGCCGTGTCTGGTGGGCCGCGTGCTGTACTGGGCCGTGACGCATGCCGTGCTCGCGGGCCGGCCTGCGGACTAAACGACCTGCCGCCCACCGTGCCCGTGCCGATTTATCAAAATTTTGTTCACGACCCACGGCCCACTGCTGGGCCACCGTGCCGTGTCGGGCCGTGCCACCACCGTGCCGTGCTCGTGCCGCCCGCAGGCACGACCCATGCCCACCTCTAAATACTCCCATACTGCCAGCCCACCTCCATTTCAATTGATTTTCCTTTGCCAAATTTTTTTTAACCATTCACCTTTCCGCTGCCGGCTGGTTGCATGACCTCCTCTCTCTCCTCCAGTGAAGCGTACTCTGAATTCTCCATTGAAGCGGCTTGCGTGCTCTCTCTCCTCCATTAAGCAATTTTAAAGGTCATATTTTATTTTTTTAAAACGAATGTCAATTTCCCATTAGTGTTAATCGTTAATTATAATCAGTGCACTCAATTTAGGGTTCATCTCAGGTGGATTATTAAACTACTAATTATAATTACCGATAAACCATAATCCGAAATTCAACGTAATTTCGCTGTTAGAAATATTATTCATATTGTCCTAACTTGTAATGGAGTTGTAGAAATGAATGTGTTTAAGAGGCATTCGTAATTCAGGAAAGGCAAAGCCGCGGACGTTTTACCAAATTGAGCTTTAAACGGAAACTATTTACGAAAATGGTTGCGTGGCAAAACTATTTACCAAACTAAGCTTCCAGCATAAAACGCTGTCCGAGACAGCGTTTTATGCTCTGGTATAACGCTGTCTCTGACAGCGTTTTTACCTTTTGTATTTTTTTAAAAAAAATTATTAACAATTGTATGTTGAACATAAAACGCTGTCCCAGACAACGTTTTACCTTCTGTATTTTTTTAAATTCAGTAGGGCATAAAACGCTGTCTCGGACAGCGTTTTATCCTTGGGTTTTTTTTTTAAAAAAATTCAATGGGTAAAACGCTGTCCGGGACAGCGTTTCATGGCCATATATCAGTATGTTCACTTCAGCAGAATGCGCAAGAACTCAACCTCAACCTCAACGCTTTCCCTCCTCCCTCTCACACTAAACCACGACCGTACTCAAACACCCGCATTGCCGCCGCCGCCCACCCTTGCGCCACCGCTGCTGCCGCCACCTTGCTGCTGCCCTCCTCCCTCTCACACTCACTCACTCAATTTCGTGGTTAGCCCTAAACTGAATTTAGTGTAATTGCATAGTTATTGTGGTTAATTATTGTGAATTGTATGTAATTGCTCTTACTTGTTGTTAATTCATGTCAATTGCATGTAATTGTTGCTAATTATTAATGAAAATGTGGTACATTGTTGATAATTATTGATGGTGATGTGGTACATTGTTATTGAAATTGTTCATGACATTGGTGAAGTTGATGATGGTGAAAATGTTGAAATTATTGAAATAGTTTAGGTTGAAATTGTTGAAATAATTCAAATTGTTCATGAAATTGTTGAAATTGGTGAAGTTGTTGAAAGTGAAGTTGTTATAGGTGAGAAGAGTCTTATTTCAGTGTTGATAATTTACCTCGCTCTAGATTTCGATAATCCTAAAATGTGTTTTGGTTATGTAGAATATGGCGTCACAAAATGTAGTTTTGTTATGCCGGTGGGGAGGAGAAATGCTGTTTGATGGACCCCGGGTCGAGTATAGTGGGGGAAATATGGAACCACTAACACTAGAACCGAACATGACTATGAATGATTTGATGAATGAGGTTCATAGTAGTATTGGTTCAGACCCGATGACCGTTGACGTACACATTAAAATGAGGTTTGAGACCGGCAATGGGGTTCAAGTGTTACCGGTTTCTACGAATAAGCATGTGACAGCTCTAAGGAACGTTGTTGCAATGAAGGGTGTTCCCACTGAAATATATGTGGAAACGGTGCCTATATGTACCCAACAAAGTACTCGGCCAGAACAACAATCTACACGTATTTCTGGGTACAACACAGAGCCCTTTCAAGTGCCGTCACACGACATTCCATCAACTGAATATGGGATGGGATCTTTCAGTCGAATGCTGCACGACGATCAATTTGACATGCCATTTAGTTCTCATATTGCTTCACCTGTACATGGGGGGGCATATTTGGCATTGACTGGCGAAGCTTCACCGTCTCAGCATGCGCCGAATCATCTTGAAGATATTGTGAATAACGAACTTTCTGTGTATGATGTGTACACAAATGATGAGGCCGATAGCGGAGAGCCCCTGGTTAGAACTCCCATTCCTTGGTTCAGTCAGGTGAACGAGAACTACGAAGTTGATCAGGATTGGGCCGAATCGGGTAGTCATACGTCGTTTGTTCCGGGGGGGAATTTGAGAAGGGGATGTGGTTCGAAAGTAAGAAAGTGCTCCAAGAAATGGTGAAGATGTATTCCATACAGAGGAATCAGTTCTACACCACAATTACATCGAATGAGAGTGTGCTTCATTTGCGGTGCAAGAAAAAATGTGGTTGGATGCTACGGGGTACCAAATCTAGTAAGCACTCGCGTGGCTTCGCCCTAGTCACATACAAAGGCCCGCACCGGGAGAACTGTGTCACGGAAGTATTGTCCACTGATCACCCGCATTTTGTAATAGAAAATTTTGATTTAATAACATTTGGAACATTTTGATTTAATAACATTTGGAACATTTGATCGTTAACATTTTGGTTAATTGCTAATGCGTTAACTCTGTTGGGATTTGTTAAATTGCATGTGAACAGATACGATGGACGGTAGGGCTGTGGAGCTGGCTGTTGTGGTGGCTGTTGGAGGACTGCAGCATGCAAGCTGTTTGCTGAAGCTTGTTTTCTGCCTGGATGCTGGTTGCTGTTTCCAGCAGAAAAGCGCTGTCTGAGACAGCGCTTTATGTTCAAGCATAAAGCGCTGTCTGAGACAGCGTTTTATGTTCAAGCATAAAGCGCTGTCTGAGATAGCGCTTTATGTTGAACATATAAAATAGTTGTAGTTGAATTTTTTTTAAAAAAAAAACCCAAGGATAAAACGCTGTCCGAGACAGCGTTTTATGCCCTACTGAATTTAAAAAAATACAGAAGGTAAAACGCTGTCCGAGACAGCGATTTACCCTGGAAGCTTAGTTTGGTAAATAGTTTTGCCACGCTACCATTTTTGTCAATAGTTTCCGTTTAAAGCTCAATTTGGTAAAACGTCCCAAAGCCGCATTATGAATATGCTAGTATGCTACAGTATCTTGAAAATTACAAAATTGCCCTATACGACCTCTTTCCTCGTGTCCTTCTACATAACTGCCGATTATTTGAAAATATAATACTCAGTTGATATTATTGAATTTCTTCAGCATTCGAATTTCTGAAAGATTGCAGTTTATTTTGTGCTGTTGAATGTTGCAGAGGCTAGTTCTTCCATCTCTTTCCTCAACTTCCAGAACCTTCTTCTTCTTCCTTCCTTATTCTCCTCGTTTTCTCTCTCCTCTAAACAATCATCATCTTCTTCATCTTTCTGCCTGTAATTCAACTATGCCGCGGAAAAAGGTAACTTCATTTTTTTTTTCTTTTTCTTACGAATTTTTATGATTTTTTTTTGCAATTAGGTTTTTGATTTTATTCATGATGAACTTCTTATAATGTTTATTTAGATGTATTTTATAATTTATCTCCATTTTGTTGAAGAGTTTAGCATAATTAAATGTGGCAGTATAGTTTCTCAAAAAAAAATGTGGCAGTATAAAATTCAAATAATTTTGGTTTTTTTCGTATAATTTAGTGATTAAGACTTTATACATTTAAATTGTGTGTAAAATACTTGCGGCAAATGATATCATGAATTTGTATGCCGAATGTGGTTTTTGGGGACTGCACACCACCTGTTTGACAAAATGTTTCACAGACACTGTTTTGATTATCATCGTGATTGCTGAGTATGTAGACTTTGGATCATTTAATTCCTGTTGGGATGTTTGAACGATATTGGCATCGGTTCGTGGTTGGAGAGTACACCTTGGGTAATTGGTACTGTTCGTAGTAATCTTTTGACTTTGTATATTGGCAGCAATTGCAAAAATCATATTCGGGTTGAATCTATTTAATACTATTTGTTAATTTGGAGATATATTTGAATGGTAACTAAAGTAAAACATTCCGTTTGTTCTTAATTGTTATCATTTATGCCAACCAATTTTACTTTGCAAGATATGCGTTTTGCTAGTTTGATTAAGTTTTTTAGCAATAAACATAGAACTCAGACAATTCCATTGGTAAATTATAAATCGATTTCAGTTTTGTATAAACGCAATGTACTATAATCATAGATTCACGACTAATAAATATTTAATGGAAACCGCTAAATTATTTCGTTTAAGAAACAAAAATTATCTCAAGTTCTATATGCATTTTGTAGGGAGAGGAGATAGAAAGCTGCTTACATGAAACTCATCCTTCAAAGTGTTACTTAATTTCTCAAGCCACATTTTCACACTTTAAATTTTATATCTTTTAATTGATTGAATTTGGGGCTTTGTCCCATTTTTTGGATGTATGTGAATTTTGGAGTGATGTAGTTTGAAGTAGGGCATTTGGAACGGACATGTCAAAATATTTTTTGGAGCATGAATGCAATTTATTGGGTATAGTTATGTTGGGGTGGTTTTGATGAAAGATTGCGATTATAATTGGGGAAAGGCTATCAAGTTTGAGTAATGGCGGTAATGGTTGGGGTTTTGAGTGAGGGAATTGAAAAGTAGTGTGAAGAATAATATGAAAATGCTGATGAGTCTGCAGAGGAGCGATAATAGAGTTGAAAAGAGAAACCTGGAAATGAGGGATGAATGGTAGAAATTCAACGTCTGGATTGATGGTCTTCAACTTGGCAATATCACAAAAATTCCCCTGCTTTATTTGAATATATTGTGGCTAATGTTGTAAATCCTCAATATTTGTGTTAGAATAGCGTGATTTTTGCTCTTCATAGGTCTTCTTTTTCCCACCTATTTCCATTGGTGCATGCTGGATTGAGCTGGAGATGGTAGGAAGATGAAATGGATTAGTCCAAATAGGTTTGAATCCGAAAAAGAAATGCTTAATTATTTTTGAGAAGTGAGAGCAACTTTGTCTTTCTATATCTTGTTATTATAATTGCTGGCTGCTATGGATGTAATTACTGAAAATATTTCTTTAAATAAAGAGAAGTTTTGTGTGAATTTTTTAGGGTTCCTTTTTTCAGATAAAATGAAGGATCTTTATGTTATGTTTTCATACTTGGATGATTGGTGTTGTTCTTTGTTTTTGAATTTTTGTAGGGAAGAGGTGTAAATCATAATAAGGAGGAAAAGTGGAAAGTAAAGTCAGCTCCTGGTGGATCATCATCATCAACCTTAGAGACAGAAGCTGTTATTGATGACTTCAGTGGGCTTAACATACCAGAACAAAGTGGGAAGACAAATGCTCCTATAAGTCCTATTGCATCGGTCCGACATCAGAGTGCAATGCCTGGACAGAAGGTGCTTTGGAAACCCAAATCTTATGGAACTTTGAGTGGTGTTACAACTGCCCCTGAAAATGAATTTGCAAATGAATTCAAGGCAAAGGAAGTAGAATCAGCTTTAAGTGAGAAGAATAACACTTCTATGAACACATTGTTCAGTGGGAAACTATTGGAGAATTTTACTGTTGACAGCTCCACTTGTTCACATGCCCAAATTAGAGCTACCTTCTATCCGAAATTTGAAAATGAGAAGTCTGATCAGGAGGTAGAGTTTCTTAAGTCTTTCTTGTGAATTCTGTTTGAGTGGATTGTTCCTTACCCAATATTATGTTACGAAATATCTAATTATTGCTACTTCTTATTACTGGTGTACTTTAAAGTTGGGATTTCCCATGCTTCTACAATGCTAGTTTTATGCCAAATGTAAGAATAGTGAGGGGCTTTCATTCCTTTAGGTACTGTAACAGCCACAACTTTTACTAAATTTAGACTTGGTGCAGAAATCTGCCTTTCATATGGATTATGGACACTATTTTGTGTGTCTTGTGTGCTAATCCACTTTTAAATTAGTAGTGGTAGATCTAGGTATATATATCTTGGATGCCAGTTCTCTGCAATAAAGAGGAAGGCTCACATTTACTAAATAATGCTTTTGGAATTCTGCCTAACAGTTGAACTTTGATGATTAAACTAGCATTTCAATTGGTTTGGTAGAAGACAATTAATAGGAGGTAGCCTTATCTTGCTCTGCTTAAACCATAAGCTAGAATTAGCCATTGAAGGTTACTTTCTCTTAAAATATCTCTCGGATCATGTTGTGCCTTGAAGGCTTGAGTTATAGGCAACTAGGATTAATTTCTTATCACCAAATTTCACGGCTTTAAAAAGTTTGGTTATCTCCTATTATGTTGAGATAATCATGGTTTGTCTTATTATCAATATGCTGTGTAAGTTCATCAGCTTCTATTTTCCTAGAGTTTCCTTCTTTTAGGCTTTTTGTAATATCCTTTTGAGTTTAATGTCAGCTTGCACTTATGCTACTTTGTGTTTCAAAAAATTGATAATCAATTGATATCGGGAAAAGGCTATGGGAACATAATTTATATCATTGCTTTGATTAGAAATATTATATCCATATATTTGTGTAGCTATTTCTCTGTATTTCTTCATGTATTTCCCTCGTAAAGAGTTTGACCAATATATGGCCCAATTAGGGGTGTTAACGAGCTGAGCCGAGATCGAGCCTCTCTAGGCTCGGCTCGAGCTCGACTTCGGTGAGCTTAGGCTCGGCTCAAGCTCAACGCTCGTCGAGCCTAAGAAATCAAGCTCGGCTCGAGCTCGAAACCACCAGATGTAAGCTCGAGCTCGAAACCACCAGATGTAAGCTCGAGCTCGGCTCGAGGCTCGTTCATTAGATATTGAGTCAAGTATCAAACTTGCTCATTTTCATTAAGTCTTCCCTTTTTTTGCTTGCGTACACCCAAATATTATCAAATTTTGCATGTTACAGGTTGCAGATTTATTAATCATATCGATTCCTTATCTTTTGCAAAAAAAATAAATTAAGAAAAAAGAAGTACAAGTAATTTAAATTGAAAACCTGTAATTTCTTAGAATTCATGTGGTGATTGGTTCTAGTACGAGATTCAAAGTGGTACAAGTCGGCAATCCGTCGCCTCCGATCAATGTCTTTTTCATAGTAGGAGAGTAAAGGCGATTGAGAAGGGATACGAAGGAGGAAAGGAGTTAGGGTTTTGGAGTTTTGTGTTTTGTTCTAAACATTTGATGTTACCAGTAAGCTTGAATTATTAGGCCCAATACAGGAAATGTCCAATAAGACAATAACCCCCCAAAGCTTAGTTTTTTTTTTTTTTTTTTTTTTTTTTTTTTCTTTTTAATAATTTATTTTAGGTATTAATTAGCTTATAATAAAATATTAATATATATAAAAAATTTCGAGCTTGTTCACGAGCTTTCAAGCCGAGCCAAGGAAAGCTTGGGCTTGGCTCATTAAAATCTCGAGCGGAACTCGAACTCGAGTTGAGCCCACTCGAGCCGAGGATTGAGTAGTTCACGAGCAGGCTCGGCTCATTAACACCCCTAGGCCCAATCAGAGTATCAGACCTGTCACTTGTGGTATCCATATTGGTTTGTTGTGTGTATACTTGTAGGTCAGTTGTTTTACTTCATTTTAAGTTATTTGTTATAGCAAGCTTTGCATAAAATAATGTGTAATAATGTATTTGTGTTATGTTATGTTACAATGTTACAGGCACAATTTGCATACCTACTGCTAACTATTTGTTTGTTTTTTGCTTTACTTGTATACAGATTAGAACTAGGATGATTGAAATGGTTTCCAATGGCCTTGCCACCATGGAAGTAAGGGATACATTTTTACTTTATCAACTAATTATTATAAATGCTTTTGATTTTCTTACAGTACAAAATTTAGTCATTGAGTAATTTAGTGTTTGACCACTATAAGTTGATTTTTTCAATCAAATGCAGGTATCCCTTAAACACTCCGGGTCCCTTTTTATGTACGCTGGGCATGAAGGTGGAGCATATGCAAAGAATAGCTTTGGAAATATGTATGGTTTCATGTTTCCTTGTGTTATCAATATGTCTCCTTTTTTCCTATTTAATATCTGATATTTTCCTCCATGCTTTTATTCTATAGTTTTATTTTATATTTTACTATCAGTTCCTGTCTTTGAGATTATCTGTTTCAGAGTATATAAATATCCGATCTTGACTTAAATTGAAGTCTGACAATTGTAAGCCTTGAATAGTATTATCAATTTCTTATACTTTGGATGGTACCTACATTGTTAGTGCATACCCTACTTTACAGTAATCATATCCCCTAGTTGGTTGTTTTAATTCCTTATACAAAGGTCTTTCCATGGTGCAGATACACTGCAGTTGGTGTTTTTGTTCTAGGTAGGATGTTTCGTGAGGCCTGGGGCAGTCAAGCAAGTAAAAAGCAAGCAGAATTTAATGATTTTCTTGAGGTGAGCCTGTTATCTATAATTGGTTTGTGAAAACTTGTAAATTGAATTACCTTGATGTCATCCGGTTAAATGACAGGCAGACAGTTTACTTTTTATATAGTATACAGTATCAGTGGTTTCCATCTTATCTTTTGAAGCTAGATTATGTGACATTTTGTTTTCATTTTGTGGTTTGTCAGAGGAATCACATGTGCATATCAATGGAATTGGTAACAGCGGTCTTGGGTGATCATGGTCAGCGTCCTCGAGAAGATTATGGTGAGATACATTGCTTTACACTCATATGTAATTGTCTCCATTTTCTGTACTTTGTGAGTGCGTGCATAGAAAAGGGTGCTTTCTTAATTTATATAGTAATTGTTCATCTATCTGGTGTGGTCATAGGAAATTGGAAGATAAGTGAAAGTTCTGATCCAAAAGGGTTGTTTCTTAAACTAGATAGTAAAAGTGCTTTAGTATTTCGTATTGATCAATCCTTAATGATCAAAACATTTAATCAGTCCTTGCTTAAGGAAAAAAAAGAAATATTTAGTAAGTTAGTCCACTCCATTACGACACCTTGATGCCAACTCACTGTAATGCAGCCCTGACACTTCACTTTTTGTTGCTTTGCAGTTGTTGTGACAGCTGTTACAGAATTGGGACTTGGTAAACCCAAATTTTATTCTACCCCTGAAATAATTGCTTTTTGTCGGAAATGGCGGCTTCCAACAAACCATGTTTGGCTGCTCTCTACAAGGTATTTAATAAAGTTGTTTCCAGTCGTCTGATCTTTTTTATTGATAGCTTGTTGTTACAGTCTTCAGATGAAAGTTTCTGCCTGTATCTTTTTGTAAAACAGATGAAAGTTTTTGCCTGTATTTCTTTGTTTTTGTAACATTTGCACTATTTATGAAATAGGAAATTTTGAGGGGAGGATAGGTGTGTGGAGGGAGAAGGAGGGATCCATTTTCTTTGAATGGATGATAGTTATTTTGGTCAGGGTAAGTGATTTAGTTTTACTCTCATTCTAATAAACCAAATCCTTTTAACTGATAGATGTGGTCACGAATCCATGATCTCGGTTGTGTAACCACTTTTGCGGGCTATGCGGATGGTTCTCATGGTTGCAGTAAGTTCAAAAGCCTAGTGATGCTCTACTAAGAGTTACTACTTTTTTCTGCTGTTAGGTTTGAAATGACAAAGCACCTTGGTTTTTTAAAATTTGTTCAGACATCATTGTACGTTATGTGTCACTACAAGTCAGTTGCTTCTTGCTTGTCTATAATATGAACCTGTTATATTTCAGGATTTTATGTCATAATTATAGAAGTGTGGGGAAGCTTCAAGAGTGGCAAAGTGATGTGATCATGAAAGAGGCAGGGGAGGACCTACAAATACTTGGAGGAGGGTAATTGAGAGTAATATGTGCCTTTTGGGATTGAGGAAAATATGGTGTTGGATAGAGTGAAATGGAGGAAGAAAATCTGCGCTTAGGACATGTCATGACTCTTGATTTATATACTTTTTTTTTTCCCCCCTTTTTACCTAATGTGTGTTGCAAACTCTATTTATTCTCCTATCTTTTACTTGCTTGTTTTTCCTCTCTTTTATCTTCCCTTAACCCTTATTTATAAAACTTTCTCATTATTTTTTACTTATGATCTCTTTTGATTTTCAGTTCACATTGCACTCGTACATTTTTTTTTAGTTTTTTTTTCTGTTTTTTCGTCAACTTTTTAATATTATCACTTTATCTTCTCTATTCCATATTTTGTGGACGGTTCTTTATGATGATTCACGTTAGGTGACTTCTAATCATTTTGCCAAGGCTTGTAGTTTGTTGTTGTTGTTGTTGTGGTTGTTGTTGTATAGACATGTATCCTTGTGCCTAGGCACTGAAGCTAAGGCTTTAGAGGTTGAGCACCATTATTGGTCTAGACGAGGCCGGTTAAAATCGGGGCGCAACACCCTATATACACCCAGTAATGTTTCATAATTGTACCTCACATTAATGAAGTGTGCGCCTTCCGCCGTTTATGCTCTTTGCGCTTAGGCTCTTGGATCCCTGTAGCTTCACTACACAGTGATCTATTTCATACAATTGGTGTATAGGCCTCTTTGGTTTGAAGTTAGTAGTTATCTCCGCCTTCAAATTTCCTCCGTTTTCTCTGTACCTACAATGCAGAATGTTTGAAAAAGTCGTTTCCACAAGAAGATAGTATATTATTATCCTGAACTTTGTAATAGGTAGCTTTATTCTTATTTTATTTTTCATGATGAAAATGTATCTGCAGGAAGTCAGTGACGTCGTTTTTTGCAGCATTTGATGCTTTATGTGAAGAAGGAACCGCAACATCTGTGTGCAAGGCCTTGGACGAAGTAGCAGATATCTCTATACCAGGTTTGGCTCATAAAAGAATAAAATAAAGAAATACCGCCTATCTTATCTTAGTCAATATTAAGTTGGGTGGGTGTAAGAACATGGTGTAAAAAGTAAGAGTGGGTGGAAAGGTATAATAAATATTGTGGGGTAAGGATGGTAAGGCAGTTAATGAGGTTTGCCAAAAATAGAATAAAACAAAAGTGTGTGTACTTTCAAGAATCAGACTAAAACAAAAAGTGTAAAGAAAGGAGGTGGTACATTATTTGATAATTTTTTTCTTAAATTTTTTGTAACTAGAAAGCTTAAAACTGCACGCGATAAACACTTATGTAGAAGGCTTTAGATTAATAGTTGCGCGTAGGTGGGGTGGGGTGGGGTGGGGGGGGGGCTGTAAACAGTTATGATAGTGATCTTATTTGTGGATACATTGTTTGTAAAAAAAAAAAGGTAGGATTACTTTGATTGGATTTTTTGTAACTAGAAAGCTTAAAACTACATGCGATAAACACTTATGTAGAAGGCTTTAGATTAATAGTTGCGCGTGGGTGGGGGGGGGGGGGGGGGGAGGGGGGGGGGCTGTAAACAGTTATGATAGTGATCTTATTTGTGGATACATTGTTTGTAATTAAAAAGGTATGATTAGTTTGATTGGAGTCATAAACTTGAGTAGTGGTTGCTGGTATCATGTGGGGGATGGACTTGTGCATTTGCTTCATTGCTCATTCTTCTGTGATGGAGAATGAGTAATAGAATGGTAGTTGATTTTATTTCTTTTTTCAGGAACAAAGGATCATACAGAGGTGCAAGGTGAAATTCTTGAAGGCCTAGTTGCTCGTATTGTTAGCCCGGATAGCTCAAAACATTTGCATGAGGTTTTGAGTGACTGTTCTCCTCCACCAGTAGAAGGGGGTATGATCTATGCTGCACTAAACTTTGTATTTGTGAGTTGAAGTTATAGTTCTGTTACTGACTTACTGTTCCTTTGCACATGGAAGCTTTCTTCTTATTATTCTTCTTCTTTTTTAATTTTTTTTTTTTTTTATTTTTTAATTTTTTTTTTTTTAGAATTTCTGTTTAATGAATACCACAGATATGTAAACAATGAAGCTGGTATTGTAATGAATTTGGTTTGTGGCACATAGCTTCTTGTGGCATTTGCAAAGCTGGGATTTTTCTTGTTATGCAGTTAAACAGAGTTAAAACTATGCTTCACGTGTTGCTTTCTGTTTGCTAGATGTTGCAGTTTTGGATATCAATTTTGTTAGGATTACTAGGCAAGCCCTGTGCGATTCATGGTTTTACCCAATTACTTCATTGCCTGTTTGAGGTTGTGTAATTCTTGTCAAATGCCGAATTTGGCTCAATTAAGCTGTGTGTCAATCTACTGCTGGATTTGGCTCAAATTGAATTATAGAGAAGAGCGAAGGGAATATCTAGTGATTTGAGGGAAACTAGAGTGTACCCTTGCTAATGCACGTGATATAAGAAAAAGTTATGTTGTTTTCCTCTATTGGATATGTAGATGCCCTAGACGGATTTTATGAGAAGTAATTTTAGTTTTTTTTAAAAAGGGAGCCAATAGATTTGCAAGGATTGGGTTTTGAAAGCATGTGGTTTAAAGTTGGAAATGTGACTCCTAATAAGCTGAATTCATAGGAGACATTTGAAATTAAGGGGTCTTAATAAGCTGAATTCAGAAGAGACATGGGGTAATATTTTTTTGAATTGCTGATCTACCTATTTTTCATCTTGAGATGTTTTTGTATGATGTACCCACTTCTACTTTATATTAGTTTTGGCACACACATTTTACCCTCTTAATTGCATACCTCACCGTTTTTACACCTTTCCACTCATGTGAATGTAGGAGTTCTCTCTCACTCTCTCTCTCTCTCCCTTTTTTTATTTGGGTGGCTGAATCATCATACTTGTGCTATATTGTTGAATTAGATCTATTGATCGTTGAAAGAGAAAGTGTAGTGCCCACACAAAATAGAAACAAAATTTAAAAGGCCAGATACTTGACTTTTCCTCTGAAAAAGACAGACTTATATTGTGTTGTTTGATAGGAAAAAAAAAAAAAATGTAATTTGATCCCAATTTTTAATCATGCATGTAAAATATTTTTTCATAAGCTATGGTTGAAATTCGAGTACTATCCTGTTTACCCATTTGCTTGATGTTTTCTTTTTCATATATTTTCTTTCTGATGGAATTCCAAGTGTATTAGGTGAAGTTTTAGTTTAAGTCTTAATGAGTTATTTTCCCCTATTCGCAGCTAAGCTGGATTTAGGACCAACATTAAGGGAAATTTGTGCTAAGAATAGATCTGATGAGAAGCAGGTGATGTGACTTATTCGTTGTGCTGCTTGTTGCAATTGGTCTTTTTCTTTATTCGCTGATTCATTGGTCTTGGAAACTGTTGTGCAGCAAATCAGAGCTCTTCTGGATGAAGTAGGTTCCTCCTTTTGCCCCAGTTTTGTTGATTGGCTGGGAAAAGAGGAAGGTGGTGATCATTCCAGGAATGCTGATAGATCTGTTCTCACAAAGTTTTTGCAAGCTCATCCAGCAGATTATTCAACTAGAAAGCTGCAGGTTTGACATGATAATTTGCAATGTATTCTTTTGATAGATTTGTTTATCGTCGTTTGTATTAGTCTCACCTGCAATACCCAAACTGTGGATTTAGTTTTGTGGCACTTAATCAATTAATTGAGTGCTGTCTGCCGGTCTTATATCAAGTTGTTGATTGCTTCTTCTTCATTTCCCTTGGTTGTCTGTTACTCTGTCTGTCTTGGTTCTTCTATGGTGTTGGTTCTATCTTCCAGTTTCCTTTTCCCCCATATTATAGTGCTTGAATAGCCTGAGTAATTTATCACTTATTGTGCTTGTCTGCCATTCTATTTACTGCTTACAGGAAATGATCCGTCTTATGAGAGAAAAAAGATTCCCTGCAGCCTTCAAATGTTACTATAACTTTCACAAAGCTGATACCATATCAAGTGACAATATACATTTCAAGATGGTCATTCATGTTTACAGTGATTCTGTGTTTAAGCGATACCAGAAAGAAATGAGGTATCTATCCTTAACTTTTATGTATGTTATCTTATGGCTCTGCGATGCATTGTATGTCCTAACATAAAGGATGTTTGTGTCTTCAGGCGCAATCCTGGCTTATGGCCATTATATAGAGGTAAGTTTTATCTGTTTTGAATTTGATGTATTATTGATTTGATAAGTTTTTTAGTTGTTTGGTTTTGCATTTTGGGTAGAGGTATAAAGAAACACATACTCGTGAATACAAAACAGTCAGTAACTAATGCAGTTAAAATGGTTTTGAAACAGACTCCGTAACTAATTACTCCCTTTGTTCCTATTTTTTTGCCCAATTTGACTTTTTACAGTCTCCAAAACGCGTCTTAAAACGTTATAACTCCATTTCTGTATGCATAAAAATTATAAAAACTTGATATTAATAAAATATATAGTTAGACGAATTCAACAAGACCCCACTTGACTATATTATCTCTTGTATATTAACGAGAATTCACGGTAATAATTTTTAAAATTTGACCCAATTATTTGCAATAGAGCAAACTAGACTAGTATCTTTTAATATTTGTAGAATTTAAATAATTTTTTTTTTCTTTTGTGGGACACTAACAATTCAATAGAAATTTCGTGTATGATCGATTGACATATATATTTTCTAATATCATGTTTGATCTAATGCTTAGGCTACGCTGAAGTCGATTTACGCACGGAGGACACTACAACTACAGTAACACATATATATAGAACAAGGTGTATTAAAGTATACTAGGGGTAAAGATCCACTTGATAATGAGACTCCATTTGATAACCAATCATCCAAAGAAAGAATTAAAATGGGAATTAATTACACTAAAGAACAATCTCTCAAATTCCTAGCTTAGATCCCTGGGTGCATAAGAGAAATTAAACCAAAATGCAATCAAATATATCTATCTTAATTCACAATCTCTTGCCCAACTATAACCAATATGCAATTAAGTTTGCTATCATGCGAGATCAATCCAATCTAAAACAAACAATATGCCACAATCAATTTAATCACACAATCATCATTAAATTCACTCAAGTAACTCAATTAATTATTACAAAGCTTCATTCACACCTGCAGAAGGAAAACTACTAAAACATTATGAATAAAGCAATTGAAGAAAGCATAACGAGAAGGAAGAGTAAGAAATGCTCATTCATATAAAATAGAGATCTTCAAATCATCAAATTCCTCATTTGATTATCCAAAATCCATGAAACCATTGTGTTTCTTACTTTCCTTCTCTGAACGTTAAGTGTTTCTCTCTAAAAAAACCTATTTATACCCCCACTAATTTGCCTAAAAAGCTTTGTAAAAAATCGAGCAGCGGGGATAGGAGCAAGTGCTCCTCTAGCATGCGCGGGCGCTCCTTAGACTCAGAATGTTTTTGAAAATATGAGCGGGTGCTCCTCTTTGCATGCGCCTGCTCTTATTGCGCTGGACAAAACTACTCGGCTTCAAACGAACATATCTCCCTCGTTTTACATCGGCATTAGGCATATGACCCGTCGTTGGAAAGCTCTCAAGATAAGCTTTCATGTCCAATTGGAATTACTTTAAAATGTTTTGTGGAAAAAAGATATAGGCTTTTGAAGTTTGATCTTTGCAAATTAAGTGCACATTTCTTCATTACTTGTTCAATTATGCTTTATTTTTCTTCAATCTTAAGCAATGAACTTATCCAAATGTTCATAAACACAAGAATAAACCAAGTTTAATCTAATGCAAGAAAGAATCTAAATATGAAAGAAAAGCCAAAATCGAGCAACATCAACATTTCGCACAGAAACACAACAAATGTAATAAAAAATTAAATTTAAAAAACATATCAAAATTATGAAAAACTTACTAGAAACTCCTAACTAGGAAAACAGAGTTATGTAAATGACACTTATCATATGCATTACTATCATTTGATAGTTTTTGGCCATATATTATTATAAAATTGATATTTTGATACTACCTCTGTTTTCCTAAGTGTTACTCGATTATTGTAGGTACGCAAACTAAGAAATAGTGAAAAAAGGACCTTGCATATGGATACTTTTGTTTTAATGAGGAGAGAGATAGAGAATATGGGTTTTATTAAATAAAATTGGGTAAGTGGGGTTGTATATTATTAATAAAAATAAATAAAAGGTTGGCATAATAACGGTGATTAAACTTAAAAATACATATGAAAATAGAAAGTGAGTAATACTTGGAAAAACGGAGTTAGTATTTTCGTTTGTATAATTATAATATTTTGTAAAACCATTTATTATTTAGTTTAACTTTTAATCAATTTTCTTTGTAATTATATTTCAAATTTATGTACAATTACATGGAGGATATGAAGATACTACACATTTCATCTCTTAATTTATCTACGGAGTACATTTTTCTTAAACTTATTCACTTTTTCCAATTAACCTAGAAATAAGAATTCCATAATTTAGTTGTACTTTTTTTTTTTTTTTGAGAAAAATTTAGTTGTACTTTTGGGAATGAAAGGTAAGTGAAAAGGAGATAAAAATTAATATAAGAAAATAAACATTGAATTAAATCAAACATTACCTTATATACTAAAATTTGTTTTCATATATTTGTAAATAAGATGGTCAAAGTGAAATACATGAATTAATGAATAGTAATAAAAGAGTCAAAACAACTTATTTGGAACCGGTGAAGTAAAAAAATTTATTTATTTAAGATTATTCATCAATTTAATAATATAATTTTGTTAAAAAAAAAAAAATTCTCCATAAATTTGTGAACTCTGCATCACACGGTCACTATACTAGTATATCACTAGATTGTACTAAGTTTTGGTCACCCTACTTGTATCATTTATATTCATATCTTAATTTATCAAGAATAAAATGTTCACCATTTAAGATTTGTATTATTGAATTGAGCATCTCTATTGGAAGGTCTGAAAATAATTTGGTTTTCAGGTTTTTTTGTTGACATACACTTATTTAAAGGAAGCAAGCATAGAGCTTCTGACAATGGGGAAGAAATGAGTGACGACAACAATGTGAATATTAGTAGTGATGCATCTGAAGCAGATTCACTAGCTGACGAGGATGCTAACTTAATGGTTAAATTGAAATTTCTCACATACAAGGTAGGTGAACATGTCTTGATTGGTTGTTAGGCTTCTTTCGCATGCATGTACACCTGGAAGTTTGATGTTGTGGATGTTGTTTATTCACCTCGTACTTTGCAAGTTTGCATCAACATATAATTGTTATGAAGATGCTCGGTTTTATTTATGGTATATTGATGTCCTTTGATTATCTAATGATTGGTCTCTGGTTTTTGTGTGACCTTTCTTTGTTTATTGTCTGTTGCAGTTGCGAACTTTCTTGATCCGAAATGGTTTATCAATCCTTTTCAAAGATGGTTCTGCTGCTTACAAGGCATATTATTTGAGGTTAGCTACTTTTCAATATTGTTTCTACAAGACTTGAGGACAAAAAGAGAAATGATAAGATATTATGGCTTAGAATCCTCAAGACATTAATTTTAGCTATGACAGTATGACACCTTACCTCTAGTCTTGGTTGAATCGTCAAGGCTACCTTTAGTTGAAATTTAGTTTTTGAAAAGACCAAGGGTGACTTGAGCATATATTTAGAAGACTTTTTTTCATTGTGGTCATTTTCTGTCTTTGTGTTACCATATCTTTTCTCTATGCTCTTTCCTTTAAAGCTCCTCCATCTAAAACAAAACTATTAGGGTAATAGCTGAACCATTCTCTCTAAGGTGGTGAGACATATTATTTCTTTGTTTAAACCTTTATTAACTTGCATAAATTAGTGCCATCAAGATGTATGCATGTCAATTGACCTAGTTTTGTACTTGTTAGTTGAGTAATGTAGAGAATTTTTGAGAGCCTCATGGATAAGGTATTTCCAATTCCAATATATTCTAAAATAGCTCATTTGTTGTTTTTTGGGGGATGGGGTTGGTCAGACTGTCGAAGAACTAGTATACCAATTAAACAACCACCAAAACCATCATTTGCATAATGTATCTTGTCACTGGAAGAGTGTAGGTGGCTGAAATGTACCACTTCTCCCCGAAGTCATGAATGGTCACAATTCTTGGAGCATCAAATATTTTTTTTACCGATGATAATGTTGCCATTAAACGTTGATCTGCCATGTCCTACCATGTGTGAGTGATCACTGTGTGCCACCTACTTGCTGGCTCTCTTTGGCCTTATCCATTTGATTGGAATATGTTTTGGTCTCTCTGCATGGCCTTTGGATGGGTATTTTCTTAGTTTTCCTTTTGAAGTTCACATTAGATGGCTGTAGAAATTGCTTTATAAGACATGTTTTAATAGTTGTTTGGTAATTATGTCTTGAGGAGAAGGCTAGTGTTCTGAATGATGGATATTTGCCTGGTCTTAATGGGTAATGGTGGTGTCTTGCCTGCCTTATGATCTAGGAGTTTAATGTCTAATACATGGAATGGAAAAGCAGTAGAACTGTGAGTTTGTGACCTTTTTTATATATCAAAGGTATGATATAATGACTAGCTTTTATGGTGAACTATTGCCTTTGTTGATTAGAAATATTTGTATGGCAGACAAATGAAAATCTGGGGCACCTCTGCAGCAAAGCAAAAGGAATTAAGCAAGATGCTGGATGAATGGTAGTGCTGCCATTACTGGAAATTTTATTTTTGTTTCTGTTTTTGTGGCTGTATTTGATATGTAATGCGGTGCTATCTTGAAAGGGCTGTCTATATAAGGCGGAAGTGTGGTCACAAGCAGCTGAAGTCTAATGTTTACCTCAGTGAGGCTGAATCTTTTCTTGAACAATATGCGAAAAGGAGCCCTGCAAATCAAACGCTCATAGGTGCGGCTGGAAATTTGGTGAGATCTGAAGATTTCTTGGCCATTGCTGGTGACATGGATGACGAGGGTGACCTTGAAAGAGAACGTGAGATAGAACCTATATCACCATCTCCTACTAAAGAAGCTGTAAGAAAAGAAGGCCTTATAGTGTTCTTTCCAGGTTTCTACCTCTTCTCTACACAAAGTAATTAGTGGCTTGCCCCACAATATATTTACCATTTATTACGATATAGAAAAGTGATTAAGATTTAGAGTGAAAGAAAAGTATTGTATGATTGTAGTACAATGTTCTTTCATAAATTTATGTGGAAGAGCATCAATTCCTTCTTTACATCTCTCTTACTGTATTAACAATTAGTAGAATTAAGATTTACTATCACATGATTCACATCCCACAATTCATGTAAAGTTCCAACCAGTATTTATTCTTTTAATAAAACATATCATTCTCTGTAGCCACAAAACTCTATGGATAACCAAACATGCTACCCTTCTAATTGTTATCCTTTCTAGTCTGCTGGAAAGAGAACTTATCTAACCAATTACCCAATTAATCCCGTAATATCAAGCAATTGTTTGACATTTTTTTACCGGTTTAAGATATGCTGGGATTCATATATTTATTCTTATTAGGTGAATTATAGTTTTTCAGTAATGTGAATATTGTCAAATTTATATGCTACATTGCTTTCTAATAGGTGTTAATTTCTTCCATGATCTTTTCAGTGATGACTAATGTTGCTTTTCTCATTTTTGTTTTTACTTAATTTTTTTCTTGCAGGAATACCAGGCTGTGCTAAGTCTGCACTTTGCAGGGAGCTGCTGAAAGATCCAAGCGCTTTTGGAGAGGGTCGTCATGTCCAAAGTTTGATGGGTGATCTTACGAAAGGCATAATATCCTAACTACCTGTTGCATCCAATAGCGTAAAGATGTTATGCCATCGAGTTCAATATTGATATGTCAATTTCATTGCCCTCTTAAGTCTATGATTTTGGTTGTATTAGTATAGTTGGTGAATGTATAGTGTATTTGCAGGACGATACTGGCAGAAAGTTGCTGAAGAGTGCAAAAGGAAGTCTGATTGCATTATGCTTGCAGACAAAAATGCACCAAATGAGGAAGTATGGAAGCAGGTAAGCACAAGTTTTATGGATAGTGTCCATTCCCTGTGAGTGTTTTTTTTCATAATTTTTTTGTTAAATATTTGTAATTTACTACTCTCTCCGTTCCCTAAAGTTCAACTTTTCTTTCTGTTTTGGGGCGCTTTGAATGTTCAATTCACTTTTACTTTATTCCATTATAGGAATAACCCTTTTGCTACCTTACCTCTCTTACTGAACGCTGTTTACACCTTTCCACCCACTCTCGAAGTTTCTGTTACTTTATCCATCGTTTTCTTACACCCACTTACTTTTAACAAACCTTTTTAAAAACAGGAGTGTACAATGAGTTGAACTTTCAAAAATTAAGGGTTTAATTGACTTTTGATATTTAAACACTATCATATAACTTGTATTATCTTGTTATGAGATAACGTTTGAGCTTTCTCACAAGTTACCTTTGAGCTGTTCATACTTCCTTAGAATCTAAAGTAATTCATAAGCGGACTTGTGACTTGTTGTAGAAACATAAATATGAAATATTATACCTATGTGTTTGTGTGTTTGTGGATTACTTGTATTTTACCACCGAATATGTGTGTGTGTGCATTGCTTGGATGTTGCTGGTCTTTTTGGTCCTTTCCTATTGTTGTTAATCTCTTGTTTTAGTAATTTTGTTTGTCATCCAGAATGTTTTTTCAAGTGGGCATGTTTGCATCTGCTTGTCTGTCATATGTATTACCTGTGTTGCCAATGTACTGAATTCAAATGCTGTCCATTGTACTAGATCAATGGATTTTTGATGATTAGAATTGCTTGAGTGGATTTGAATGTTGCTCCTATATTGCAGATTGAGGAAATGTGCCGAAAAAGCAGGGCATCTGCCATTCCAGTTGTACCTGATTCTGAAGGTATCTTTGACTTCATCTCTTTCTAATTTGCCTACTGTAACCTTAAAGAATTATAATGAGAGCACGATGTAATAGAAGTAGAAAACAAGATTTTGGAATATAAAGGTGGATTAATGATGCTAGGTCTCTGCCAAATAATATGTATGGCTGTATTGGGCTTTAGTCAATCCTGCAGAATCCTTATCCAACCTTGTTAATTAGTTTTGATCCCCAGTACAATTCAAGTCCAACATAGGCTTCATATCCATTGCTTGTGATCTGAGTGAACCTCCACTACATCTATATTTCACCCTATCTGATACAATTGTTGCATGTTGTATCGACACGACTATTTATAAACCTATTTTGATCTGAGAATTTGAAATTAGCCACTTCCGTGAAAATTCGAAACAATAGATACAAAACACCAAGTCATGATTCCTGAAACACAATACTTAAGTAGAATATGGCTGTTATCTATTCAACATAAACTTTGTGATTCGTAACGCTGAAAAGGAAATGTCCATTACACTCCACAATTGTCTTCTAAATTTTTTATGTGAATGCATAGTCTCTGGTACGTGCTCTCACAAAGTCTCAAGTGGGAGAGCTATATTGCTTACACCACTTTCTCTTTGACATTTAAACCGACTCTGCTCTAAGCGTTCATTATGAGTTGTCTCAAGTTGTGAGAACCATGGCTTGGTACGCTGAGTGGATATATCATTCCTTCAGAAGCTCTTTTATAAGTGTATATTTATGAAGTGTGAGTTAGAACTCTTTTTGTGCCCTCATGTTTGCTGTTGGTCCTGTACTTTCATAAGTCTTCTTCCTTGACTTTATTATATGTTTCATACTTTTATTTATAGCATTAGTTTATGACATACTACAGTAAAGTTTCTCTGTTTACCATTTTCCTGGATTGATGTAACGTAATGGTGGGTTTCCTGTTGTGCAGGCACTGATTCATATCCTTTTTGTTTGGATGCATTATCTGTTTTTATGCTACGCGTGCTTCAACGAGTAAATCATCCGGTATTGCTTTTTTTTCAATCTTATTTGGATGAGGTTTTTTATTAAATTAACTCATACTTAAGATAATTTCTTGTTTTCTATGTGGGGCAGGGAAACCTTGACAAGGCATCTCCAAATGTGGGTTATGTATTGCTTATGTTTTACCACCTATATGAGGGCAAGGTATGATAGTGTCACTTGTCTTGAAATGATCTTCAAGTTCATGCATTTACATGTGTCAATTTGAGTATCCAAAATTCACATTACCTATTTTTGTTTAAACATTTGTCACTGTAACTATGATCTCCTTCCATCCACCTTCCCCCAAATACCAATACGCAGCAAAGTAGGAGAATCTGATTGGCATGGAGTTACTAAATTATTTGATTCCAGTGTAGCTACTTTGAGAATGTCCTAATTATTTTACTATTTTGATCTTTTCTCCCTAGAGCCGTAAAGAGTTTGAAGCTGAATTAATTGAACGCTTTGGTTCAGTTGTGAAGATGCCTTTGCTCAAAGCTGAAAGGTTTGTGTCATCCTAAAATGGAAAATCTTTGTTTATTATTATTTTTTCTTTCCTAACTCAGAAATCTCTATGTTTGCAAAAAGAGAGTTCTAGATGTTCTTTTGTGCTCTGGTTCTTCTTTAACATATGCAGATGCCTTTTTAAGTCTGACTTGTAACTGGGCATATGCCACTGTCTTCTTCTCTACCTCACCATATAAGCCACTAGCGAATGATGCTGTCTATTTAGGATAAGACCAACAATGACATCTGGGTTTTCGCCTTCAATGGGCTTAGGGAGCTCAGGGAATTTTTAGTCATAGTACATCTCTGGACTCCTGCAATTAAGAATAGATTGTCCTTGATAGCCTAACTTAAAGCTCATTTTACTTGGATATTCTCTGTGTATGTGTTTAAAGATGAGAGGAAAATGTTCCTATTAATTGTACTACCTCTGTTACACAATAGTTTCAATGTTTTTATATGCTCATAAACCAATGAATTGGGTAAATAGTTGAGATTGGACAAGTATTAAAGTTCCCCATGTGCATCATTCTAATTTTACTGCTGCTTCACGGTACACTTTAACTGCGTAAATTAAATGGGAGTAATTAACTGTTAGTAAGACTTAATGAGGGGTTGTTTGAAGTATTAAAAATTGTTTTATAAATTTAAGTGGGATAAGGGTACTTGTGTCATTTGATCTAAAACGTTACTAAAGAAGCAAACAGTGCATCTATTGTGAAATGATGAAGGTAGTATAAACTAGAGATCAGAGAGCCAGGAATCTCCCAAGATATACAATTGGAATAAGTGATGCCCCTGTGCTTCCTGTCAAGATGGCTGCAGCAATGATGAAGGGACAGGAAGGGTCTACAACATTCTATTGCTGGAAAATCCAAGGAGATGATGCCAGCATGTATCTCAGTTTAAAAAAACTTTTTAAATGATGTGATGTTGGTGAGGCTAAATTTACAACTTCATTTGGTGGTGAACACAACCATATTTCCCATTTTAGAAGATTTGGTATACTATCACTTCAAACCCTCTCTACTTCCCTCTCTTGTTTCTTACTTTTGTGGATGAGTATTCTAACCTAATACTCTGCAAAAGAATGAGAAGGGGTAAAAATAGATCTATAGAAGAGTGAGAATAGAGAGAAATAAAGAGACTGAATAATTTGAAAATAGGATTGAAGAGAGAGAATAGATAAGATAGATAGGAGAATAGGAGAGAGAGTGTGAGATACAGTAGGAGTGAAGGGCGCGAATGTGCGATATCTGTTAAAGGAGTAATTGAGTGATATTTGTTTGGGTTTTTCAATTTTGTATGACTACTCTTCACGTTTTGGAACAGATATCCGATATCTGATTCCTGGTTTCTTCGAATATCGGATTATCCGATTTTAAAAATTTCAATATCCGATCCTAAATTGATTTTGAATTGGATATTCATAATTTTCGGATCGGATGCGGATATATGGATAGCTTTGCTAAGCCCTAATTATGATTTTGGCTATTTTTTTTAAAAAAAATAAATTAATTTTCATGAAAAACTAAATAAATACCCCTCCCCCACCGATCCCTTTCTCTCTCTCTCCTCCTATTGCTGCCCCTTCTCCTTTTTCCTTTTTGTCACGAGTTTCAAGGTGAGGGGCTTTCTCGGGTGTGTGTTGGGTTGATTCAGGGTGGGTTTCGGTGGTTAAGGATGGATTTCAGTGGTTAGGGTTATGTTTTGGAGTGGATGAGCTGAGTTGTGGTGTTTAGGGTTAGATGTGTAGTGTTCAAGTGGGTTTCGGGGTGACTGGGATGGATTTTAGGGGGGGGGGGGGTCCGTGGGCTTGGGTTGGTCTCGGCCAGCAGGCAGGGGGGTGGTCTATAATGGTCGGCCATTAGGGGGGGGTAGTCGTGGTCTGGCAGTGTGGGAGCTGTGTGTGGTGGGGAGGGTATTTCTTAAAAAATTATATAATTAAAATAATAATTTTCAATTAAACTTTAAAAATGATCTTTAAAAAAATGCTAGGACAAGGATTTCTGTAATGACAGCAATTAGAGTAAGGTTGAGGATAATTTGTATTGAATTGATCAAGGTAATCACTCAATACACCTTTATTTGGAGAGGAAAGGAGCTCTCCCACTAAGCAAATGCTTAATAATATTCTTTTTGATGATTATTACAGCAGAGGCTACTCACTTAAATACAATTAGTTCTCCCTCATATCCCACTAACAGAAAAGATTCCCCATAACAAACTTTTCTAACAGAACTTGACACCTCAGCCCCTGACCTATCAATTGAATTTGCTGCCCTTGCCCTGCTTCCTCCTTGCATAAGTGAACACTACTGCAGGCCTCGGTGCATTCCTTGCAAATGAAAAATAACCAATGTTATTATGACATGTGTTTATTAACCTATACAACAAGTTACCCCCTCACATCAACAGGTCACAGCCTAATTTGAAAACATAAACTTACTCTTTAACTCTTAGTTAATCAAAAGGGTTGACTTATTTTCCATTTTAACATTCAAGAACCAAAAGCTTCTATAAACGAGAATTTACAAATTAAAAAACTTTAGAAAAGAAACACGCTGACTAAAAAGTATGAAGAAAGTTCAAGCTAAGATTTTTTGTGCAAAGCATGTTCTAAAAGATTTACTGGTCTCCCAGTGCTGCATACCCATGTCACGGCATTTTCAGGCATGAAGCAACCTTCCTTGAGGCCTAATCAAATTCCTATGCAAATCCCCATATCAAAGGTGAACTTAGTTGGAATCTTGTTGGCTTCCTAACCTCTTCACAACTCAAAATAAATAAGGCTATCAACAAATGCTCCATTCAACACAAATCAATATGAATTTTGAATGGTGTAACATTCATGAAGCTGGTGTTATCTGTTGATTTGTTTTATGGAATGAATTTTTTTAGGGGCACAGTATATGATTATTTGTGAATTTTTTATTACTTAGGGCTTCTCTACCTGATCCTGTGAAATCCGTGCTGGAGGAAGGGATCAACCTATACAAGCTACATACAAAGCGGCATGGAAGGTTTGTGTTTGATGTGATATGTTATACTGTTTTGTGCTCGCAATATTCAAATCAGACCATGGCTTGCCATGTGATGTCTTATTAGAATTATGATTTTTCAAGTACGAAATCTTATCGGTTAATAGGATTTTTGTGATCATATCTAAATGAAATTTCAGTTCTTTGACGGCTTCTTTACACTTTAGTAAGGAATTAAATTCTCTATGTCATTGAATAATGGAAATTGAACATTTTGCTACAGACTTCGTTTATGAAAAAATAAATGCAAGAAAAGCGATGAATTGATCTCTTGAACTCATAAAGCTCTATTTAGTTTTTCCCTTTTTAGTTGAGATGTCTTAGATTTTGAGCTTTATTAAAATGCAGAATGGACTCGAGTAAAGGCTCCTATGCAAAAGATTGGGCAAATTGGGAAAGGCATATGCGAGAGACTTTATTGTGCAATTCTGAATACCTTAACTCTATTCAGGTAAACTTTTTCTTTTATTTTTGGTTGCTATTTGTTTTAAAAAATTAGAATTAGTAGTAACATCATCTTGAGTTTTCATCATTCCAGGCTTCTCTCTGGGTTTACATTGCCTTTTACTGAAGTATTGATTGATAAATTAGGCCATTGAATTTTGATATCACCTGTTGAAGGACATAGATTAGTGCATAACATGCTGTTTAAACAACTATTCTAAAGAGTTGTAAGTGGGAGGAACTGAGGGAATCGTTATAATATGTTATCAATACCTGTAAGATGCTGTTAGAGAATTTTTGAGTCAAAATATAGTGGTTTCTGAAATTTTTAACAAACAATATTATTCATTGTGTGTGTGGGGGGTGGGGGTAGAGGGTGGGATGAGGGGGTACGGTGAGGTTTCATGGTGGGAAGTGGGGATGAAGGGGTGGGGTTTTGCCGTTTCGAAGATGGGGTGCGGTGGGGTTCGGTTCAGGGTTTGGACCGTGCAGTGGGTGCGTGGAGGGGTTTGAGTCAGTGTGTTTTGATGATTACAAAGGTTACTAACTGTAAGATTAACAATTCACTATATAGTATCTTCCAGTAGTCCCTCACTCTCTAGTATGGCTAACTTTGCTTCTTTTTTCGCAAATCCTATGAATGGAAACATTCATGATATATAGACTTTAGGTCTGGAATAAATTATTATGTCATTTGATTAAGATTTTTTTTTTCAAATAACAGCAGAATATTCTGAAATAATAGGTGCTGAATTGCAGTTGACGATTAATATTTAAGGTCGCTATTATTTGCATGTACTAATTCCAAAATTGGCTGAGGACTGTATTTGTATTTTACAGGTTCCATTCGAGAGTGCTGTGAACAGTGTGTTGGAGCAATTAAAAGCAATTGCAAAAGGTGATTATATAACTCCTAGTTCTGAAAAGAGACGGCTTGGAGCAATTGTCTATGCTGGTGTCAGTTTGCCTGTTACTGAAATACGTCATCTTCTCAGTTATGTAAGTGTTTTCAAATCATTCAATATTTATTATGGATCTGATGCTTGCATTGCATATTAATGTCTCAACTTCAATTATTACATTTGCTATCTATTGACTAGTTAGGCTTCTTACAGCCGTTTCAAACATATTTGCCTTTTCTTTGAAGTCCTTGAATCAGTATTGAGGAACTTAAATCCAATGAGAAAAATGTCATGGGACTACGCTTTTTTGTTTTCTCCCTTTATTCCTTTTTAAGCTTTATGGGTAGTTATTTGATGTGGAGTTTATTTCAGAACCCACGCTGGAATTTACTCTTGTATTTACTACGACAACATTTCTAAGATTTGATTCTTGGTGCTCATACTGTTAGTCCTGTCTCACGAATCTGTCAACCTCCTTTCTTCGGTATAGTTGATCCTGTTTTCTGCATTTAATTTTGGGAATCTAATGTTTTTTGAAGATGCCAGTGACATGTTCCCATCTTACAATGGATACAGTTCAATGATTGAAAAAAATTTATGATAATACTTCCATGTCCTTGACCATTGAACCAGTGACTTTATAACCCAAACCAGTGGATCCTCCATAATTTTGGTACCAAAAGCGGTTAGCGGTAATTGTAGGGAGTGTCCTTATTTACCTATCTACCTAAATTGGCGGGGCTTGTATTTTTCTGAATTTGTAGTCATCATGTATGACCCTAATATTTACTCAATATTTGGATGCTCATTTCTGGCTTTATCTTGTATATTGATTTTTGCAATTTGTTTTTGCCTGATCTGCAGATTGCTGATTACAACTCCAAGGTTGAACCTTTTTTTAGTGACAAGAATTTGGAAGACACGCTCAGGAAAGCTCATGTCACCCTTGCTCATAAGAGAAGTCATGGTGTCATAGCAGTGGCTAACTTTGGTCAATTTCTTAATCAAAAAGTAGATGTCGAGTTGACTGCTTTACTGATATCTGATAATATGGCTGCCTTGGAGGCACGCATTGGCTCAGTGGATGGTGAAAAGATTGAATCCAAGAACGAATGGCCTCATGTTACCTTGTGGACAGCATCAGGAATTGCAGCCAAAGAAGCAAGTACTTTACCTCAGTTGGTGGCACAGGGGAAGGCATCTCGTATTGAAATTGATCCCCCTGTTGTTATAGTAGGCGAAGTGGATTTTTTTTAGTGTAGTTCTTTCTGATGCCCCTTGAGCCTTTGTAATTGATTTGTGCATTTGCGGCTAATAGATGTAGTATTGTTAGATTTTCGCAGTACTCTTAGTTAAATAATGGAAAATTATTATTGAAGAATATCTGTTCTTGCTTCCATATGTCCATGTTCTAATTGATACTGAAGTTCGTAAATTCTGGTGACTTTCTTGTACTCTTATGGACTTATGGTAGGTTGTAAATGTTGGCATACAAAGTAGCAAACCAAAAAAAAAGGCCTCTTTACTTTCAGATGAACCGATTGAGCCCTAATAGTTGTCAATTGTGCAATTAAATCCTAATCTAATTTTTGGACCAAATTATTGCAGAAAGATGACGAGGTACCAGCAAAGTTATACTGGTAATTGGGATTTCTGAATTTGCGCGAATGTTTATACAAATTATCGTTGTGGGTTTCAATTTTTTTTTTTTTTTTTTTTTTTAATAAGATAGTGTCTAAAACATCCGTAAAGGAAATTCTCAAATGAGAGTTGTTCAATAATGAATTAAAGACTAGGCTAAACATTAGAAATAAAGAGTTAGGGTTCTTACTTTAGCTTATCACCTTACTCAAAACTGGTTTTTTTTTTTCCACAACCATGCCACTGCAAGGGAAGCATTGTATTGGTAATTCTTTGTCAAAAAGCAAAAACTAGAACACATAATGGTTTGGTGACTAAAAGACAAAATTAATGTTTGTAAACATAGACTCTAATTGCGGCCAAAATATAATGTTTTTACAAGGTAATTAAGAAAATTTCTAATGAGTTTATTTTAGTTGTGTGAGTTAATATTACATGGCAAAATTTTGTATAGCTAGAATGAAAATTTTGACAAGTAATATAGAACGAAGGTGAGTACAAAAATTAGTTTAAGCTGAAAAATTATGGAATAGAAGGAATTAGTTAAGGGGACAATTGATAAAATGGAAGGTTAACATACTAATCAATTATAACCCCAAAAACTTCCCCAAGTATCCAGTATATGCTCTTTGACACCCCAACGCTCCTGCATTACAAGTTTTACAACATAGTAACATACAAGACCTTACATAGTGATCAAACATTCAAACCCTTGTATCCCTCTTCTTCTCTCCTCTCCAATCCACCACATATACCCCACCAAACCAATACCCCACCTCAACGATTCAACCCCATCACAATTGACACCGCTGACCTTACATGTCCTACACCCCTATGCAACCAAAAAAAAATACCAAATGGCAGAGATGTGGATTTGGTGATTAGACAGTGAAAAACATGCTTGTGGCAGAGGATGGTGGTGGTAAATAGGTAGAGGGGAGAGGTTTTGGCGGGGCCGTGTAGGTGGCTTGGGTGGCAACTATAAGGTTTGTGGTTTTGGAGGCTGTGTAGAAGAGACATGAGAGCTCGATCTGATGGGGGTGATGGGTGGAAAGGAGGTGGAAGTGGCGGGCTGTCGACTGGTTATCCTTGGAAGGATCTTACACAACCATGCCATGTGCTCCATCGAATAGCAATTCAGAAGTGATATGCTGAAATAAAAACCTGCAACCAGTTATGTTGAAAAAAAACTATGATGCAATGTGCTCCATGAAATTTACAGCCACTAAACTTTCTAGCAATCATTTGTTAATTTTGCTAAATGAGTAGACTTCTAGCCTCTTAGCCAATGTAGCAGCAGACAAAGAAGCCAAGGCAACAAATCCAGTATCAAGTAAAGTTCAGCTAGAATTTCTGGATGACAACAGAGTTGGCAAGACCAGCCTGCTCTATAGTCTGCTCAAGATCAGTTAATTGCCTGGGAGGAAACCCCATCATCTGAAGTGTATAAACTCCTGTTCTAGCTGGCCTTGATGCATCAATGAAGGCATGGATATCTCTTATAGTATGATGATAATTGAAACGTGAGACCATACGAGTCCCATCAGCTAACCTAAGCTGGATAGAGGTTGATGGTAGTTTATCATCCACGACTAGGCCCATCACAGGGGGTGGAGCAGAGCTGCGAGCAGTTACAGAAGCAGAGTCAGAAGGGGTCGAGTGGCTAGCACCCAACGTTCTTCCAACACCCTGAAATGGAACTTTTCGTTTTTGTGGTTCCTGCATGAAGTATAAGTTATTGAACTTTACAACACAAAATCAACATGACCAAAAGAAAAATGCAAGTGAATGAAAAAACATACAGGGCAGTTCTCATTCCTCCTCACAAGATTACAATGGACTGCAGTCTTCCTGTCTGCTGGCTCTAGTTCTTTTGGGCACTCAGAATTTGTGATGCTCTGCACAAGATTCTTTTTTACATAAGCAAGCATACACAATGCCAATTATCACCTTCAAGATAGATACTACCAACAAATCACTCACAAAAAACTATCAATTGAATTAAAAAATTAAACAATCATCTATTACTCTATACTAAAGTAGAATATTTTCTGGAGCGAATTTTCCCTGCCAAACTCTGTTTTATTTATTTATTTATTTTTAGATTATTACATAATTATAAATTATCCTAGGAGCATTATAATCTAACTACTTATTGCTATGCACATTTTTCTACGCACTTCACATTAATTAATCTACAAACTTCATCATTTATTTATTTATGGGTTGACTAATGAATTTTATTTAGAGACTTCTATATTTTGAATACTACTCCGTATTAATTTAATAATCCGAGCATGGTACTATAATACTGGAAACATCATCTTCCCATAACAAGCTGTCAGCATGTGAAGGAGATAAGTGTATAAAACTTTTGTAAGTTAATAATGGTTATACAGGTTCTAAAGACAAACTAGTGTGTCCCTCGGGCGATGCCCCGGGTTGCTAGTTTGTGTACTTCTATAATTTGATGATTTATGTTCGACTGTTTGTATAGTTAGTGTGTGGTTTGAGTGTTGCCTCGGGTGTCACTTTTTTTTTACCTAGTATGTATTTATATTCTAATCTTGTGAAAAATAAATGAATTGAATTACCTCTAATTTACTTAATGAATGAAAGGAATATATAATATTATTTGAAACTTGAAACATTAATAAAAGTTAGTTGAGATGGTAAATGTATTACCTGAATGTATAGGAGGTTATGGGTTTAAATCTAGCTCAAAGCATAATTTATTTATTTTGTTAAATGAAGTGGCAAGCTTACGTAGCGCATATACTTTGCATAGTGACATGGCATTATAACATGGCACATATACTTTGAAGAGTGTCACGTGGCACCGTTCCTTTAAATGGGACGCTTTTTAATATATAGCATAGATTTTAGTCCCAACCAACAAGTCGACAACTTATAAGAAGAAATTGTGGCATTAAATCTGTTGTGGGTGTAACAATTGAGTGTGTTTTGTCCTTTTCCTCTTATAATTACATCGCACTTGTTAAAATTTAAAATGTATAAAAAGAAAAGAAAAAAACCCTGACGGGATATCCATTGTCTTAATGATTGAAGCACAATCTATGCAACGATGCAAAATGAGGGTCTTATATTCCATAATTGTTAAGTTCGCTTTCACATATAATTATGAGAAGCATATATCACAAATCATGCTAGTCGGATGACAAATCATCACCAACTGTCGACTGTCGAGTATCATGCAGTGAAATCTAGTGAAAGACTAATAACGCCTTCTATATACATGCTTCCTCCATTCCATTTAACTCACAACAATTAACATTTGCCATTATTCGCATACTCCGTATTAGTGTTTGACCATCTTTAGTGATTGAAATGTAAGTTAAAATGTAGTTGGAAATTCGGAATCTTGTTATATTCATCTCAATATATGTTATCATAATATCAAGAATACCTAAGTTTTACTTAATCATAATTAAAGATATTGATGATTGAAGTTAAGCATCAGCAAACTTGACAGTCAAATTATTGCAAGTTATATAGAGATAAGACATGACAACTAAACTCAGACAAGGTAGTACAAGGTTATAAATTCAGATACTGTAATATTTAACTTTCTATTAATAACACAATATATTTAGCACCTTCCCCTAAATGGTGTTTTCAAAGGTTTCAGCATAAACATACATATTTTCCACTAACCTATTGTAGTCTGCTAGTCTCTTACATATTATTTGCTGGGACCAAATTTGTTATTTTGTTTTTTTTAATGACACTGGAACCCTATTGACCTATAGAAACTGCCTCACACCCATCAAACAGAATAAACAAATTGATGATGGATGCCAAGAAAAAATAACACAGCTCTTCATCCGTCAAATAAATAGTAAAAAAAAAGTAGAAAACAAAAAAGGAATCAAATCATCCGATGACCATCAAAATTTGGAGGATTACCTGCAAAAATGGAGCATTTTCTACATCATCAAATCTCCTCAAAGGCCCATCATCCACTGTGAAACCATTACGCCATAAGGTGATAGTATGAGTGATAGTTTCAGGAGCCTGCTCGGGAGGAGAAGATGACACCGTCTCTCCTGAGAGTAACCTAGCTGTTCCAGTAAAGCTTCTTGAGCTTGAAGATGGTTGTTGAACATCAACTGGTGCCTCAATACTTCCCACACGTCTAGCTTGCTCAAAAATCGCTTCAGCATTAATATCCTTGGAAGGATCTTGCACAACCATGCCACTGCAGGGGATGCATACAGATTAGATCTTAACCAAGAATTTGAAATTTACATGAGCTAGTAACTTCATTCCAATACAACATAGACCTGTATGGCTGTATGCTTATATTTGATCTTACACTAGAAAACTGAACAATATAATTTCAAACAAAGATTGTTCACTAATAAGTGAAAGAATCCGAAACCATTATATTCCAACAAGGAATCAAAACCTCTTTCCAGCATTGATACAACAGTATAACACACATCAAACAGGACAAGCCCATGACAATCTGAATTTGCCAAAGCATAAAAAAGGTCATTGAGTCAAACAATTCACTGTTCATTGACTTTTGGGAAAACAAAGGGGTTCATTAAACTACCTGCTTTTAGACATATGAAAATAACATATTAGGATGGTCAGCCACTTTGTTATCCTAGGGGTAAATTTTCATACATCATCTCCCTTGCCCATCTAGAATGAGACCTTCTTTAGAAGAATTAGTGTACTAGATGTAATCGTTGTCTAAACATTATCAATTTATGTTCTAAACTTGCATCATGCATAAAGCACCATCCTACAAGTGAGTAAATGAGAGGGGAAGAGAGGCAATAGCACAAGTGCACAACCCCATGAAAGAGATCTGAAATTCAAATAAAAACAGCATATGTTGTTCCATATGGTATACTTGCGTCAGACAGGAAAATACTTAGTTTCATGACCTTTTCATCAAACATGAACTAGTCTTATTATGAATATAATCCACTAAAAAACTTGTAAATTCTAATTAAAAAAGTAACAGTTTTGATCATCTATGCCCCAATAGAGAGTAGAGGCAGAAACCTCATGCAAAAAAGATTCAACTGGCTATCTATGATTAACCCTATATCCAAATGTATATTGTATATCTAAACACAACTAGTTAGCAAGCTACATTCAGTCGTTCAATCACGAACCAAAAACTCAAGCTTGGCATTAGGTAAGCCAAATTTAACTTACAACAAAATCAGGGCTCCAATTGAAGACTATACTCACACAGAAATCTCATCAACAAGAGGCAAATCAGAATAGAATTATCGGTCTTCCAAACCCTTTGAGAATCTCCAAAACATTTCTCAATGTATCCTAAAATCGCATCGACACAACCCACATTACCATCAAAATGTGTACATCAATTCTATATCAAAATGTGCAAAGCAGTAGTAAATTGACAAAAATACCATCAAAATGTGCAAAGCAGTAGTAAATTGACAAAAATACCATCAAAATGTGCAAAGCAGTAGTAAATTGACAAAAATATATCAGCAATTCAAGGGTAGCAGTACTGTTCATCCAATTCATTCAAGATTCATCAAAAATATAATAATAGACCTTCAATTTTCATAATTCTCCCTCGTAAATCAAATACTCCCTCCATCCCGAATTAATCACATCACTTTCCTTATAAACTCGTCCCAAATTACGAATTCAAAACAGAGAGAGTAACAAAATTAAAACCCTAAAAATCAAATCAATCAATTTAAAATCAATTAGGGCGTACCTTTTCTGACCACCAGTGAAGAACTGAGCAGGACGATCACCATCAGAATCACTATCAGAACCATCAGCACCCGAATTCCGGTTCAGATCAGCAAAAGTACGAACACCTCCAACACGACGACGAGTCCTGGAATCAGAACTTCTAGCATTGTTACCATCGTTGTTATCGGCAGTTCTCCGAGAACGGAGACTGTACTGCGATCGAGCTCCGGCGGGAGGAGAATGCGAGCGAGAGCGAGAAGGAGAAGGAGAGAGAGAAGCGGAGGGGGAAGAAGGAGGGATGAAATCAGCATCAGCAGCACCATCGTCGTCGTCGGCAGCGGCGGCGGCGGTGTTGACAGCGGGAGGAGGGGCGGAGGAGGACTCGAAGAAGGTGGAGACGGCGGCGTCGACGTCGAAGTTGTGGCTTTCGAGGAAGAATTGGGCTTCTTCGAGAGTGGAGGAGGTGATCTCCAAGAAAGTGTTGATGATGGAGGAGTTGGAGTTTTGGTGGGACGCCATTGATGAGATTGTTGCAGCAGCTTCTTGTTCTGGGTTTGGTATGGGTTCCATACTTGTTTATGATGTGTTTGAGGTTTTTAGGTTTCTCACTTTTGTTTTAGCTTTTGCTTTCGAATTGGGATGGATTCAAGAGATTGTTTCATTTGCTTGTGTTTTTCTTAGGACTAGAGTGCTCCAACGTAAATTCTTTGCGATGAAAAACAATTTTAATTAAGATTTTTTTGACTTTTACAATCCACGAAGAACATATTTTTTGCACAAAAATCGAATAATTTTCTTTTAAACCGTTAGATTTAACGGTTTTTTTGACGCTAGGTGGTAAAAAATTATTTTTAGAAATTTTGTTTTTGTAGTAAAATAAAACTTTTAAAAGTTTTGATGGTAAAAAACAATTTGTTGATTTTTTATTTGTGGTAAAAGTCAAAAAATCCTTTTAATTATGACGTGGGTTTTGTGTAGCTGGCCACATAAAATAGTCCTATAGCCATGCGCTATGTTAGCAACTTAGTATGCTCTTACGCCATCAAAATGAAGAAAAAGTTGCGCAAATCCCTAAAACTTGCGTATAATAAACATTGCCGCTTTAAGTAATTAATTTTCCTTATAAAACACACGGCACAAGTTTGCACAAATAAAATTCGAATCAAACACAATTTACAACGTAACATGCATGACTAAACAATCTGAATTTTGTCATGAACCTATGAAAATTAAACAGATTGGAGACTCACTAACGAATCTGAAATTAAGAGTAAGAAGCTAAGAACAACCAAATCAAATCAAGAAAAACGTAACTGCCAACAATAAATTAGGTAACCTGATGAATGTCAGTTATGTCACTCTTTGTGAAGAGTTTTAATTAGTTTCATAGTTTTGGTAGGTTTTTGTTCAATTTTAACACTTTTTTTTATCCCATTTGTCATGTTTGTGTGCGGAGTATCATTGTTGCTCAACTTTATCTTTCCTTGCATTATATTAAACTATACTGGTTTATTCTTGTGTTTAGAAACATTTCGAAAAGTCCATTGCTCATTGATGGAAAAATAAAAGATAATTGAACAACTAATGAAGAAAAGTGCACTTGATTTGTAAAATTTGAACTTAAAATGGCCATTTACCCGCAAAACTTTCTAGAGTGATTCCACTTAGAAATGAAACCTTATCTTAAGAGCTTTCCAAAGATAGGTCATATGCCCAACATCGATATAAAATGAGAGAAATATGATCATTTGAAATTTAGCAGTTTTGTGTTGATGCGCAAGCTACAAGGAGCGCGTACAACAAATTTTCTGAAGCAATCTACTACACCTTCGCTAGTGTGAAGAGCACCCTTGCCAAGCCATGGAGTGCAAACTTATGTACCATTGTTAGATTTTTTTATGGAGGTTCCTAGGCAAATTAGTGGAATATAAATAGGTTATTTTGTTCATATTAGAACAAATCTTCATCCTTTCTATAGTTTTTGAACTAGTTTTAGGTTTGTAGAGCGAGAAAGTCTAAATGTTTACAGAGAAAAAGTGAGACAAAAAATGGAATAATTCATGGATTTTGGATAATCAAAGGGTAAGGCATACCGATTTTGGGCAGTCGTCTCTGTCATTTCAGAAATATTTATCGACTTTTAATTGTAATATGTTAGAAATGACCTTGCACCACACGAAGCATCATCACCAACTTCCCTCATTCTATCAAAGTCCCATCACATGTTTAAATGTAAGTTGGTAAACCTTATTTGCATTGTCCACACTCATTGTAATAGCTTAAAGGTAAATGTCGTTAATGGCCTAAGTTTGTGTTGTGTAAGGGCTTATTATGCCTATAGTAACTAGGGGTGTCCATTCGATTTTCAGTTTGGATTTTAGCCAAATCCAATCCGATCCGAAATAAAATTTGGTTTTCAATTTTCAAATCCAATCCGATCTGAATTTCTCGCCAAATCCGATCCGACCCAATTCGAATTTGAATTCGATTGTTTGGATCCGATCCGAAAATCCAAAATCAAGATACATATATTATAAATTTTTAGGGCCTAATACGATTATAAAAATAAAAATACCATTAATAAAATCTAATTCTTGATAGCATAGTTGTACATGATTAATACAGAATTGCAAAAATAGTTTTACATGGTTACTATTAAAGTAATTAAAAACTTTTAACATGATTAAAATAATATTAACAATCATTATTTGTAAAATCATGGTTTCATATATTCTTTTATTTCAGTTTTTTGGATCCAAACAAAGTCAATTCGATTCGATTCAAAATTCCGAATTATCAAAAAAATTTCAATATGATCCAATTTAAAGTTTGGATCTGATCCAAATTATTATTTCGGTTTAAATTGGATTGGATTTCGGTTTTAATCCGAATAATGGATACCCCTAATAGTAACCCATGCTACTTTATTTTCCGTTCGTTTGTTGTAAACCTAGTTTAATTAATGTAATTTCATCCACTTTCAAAAAAGAAAAAAAAAAGCCAAAAAAAACTTAAAACAATTGATACAAGCTTTGGTGTCTAAAAAAAGTACGAAGTACTTGATTAGCTCCCATGCGATGCACGAATATAATGAAAAAAAAAGAGAGGTATATATATAAAACAATACTCGTAAAAAAGCTATAATAATGTTTCATTGGGTAAGGGTTGTCAAAAGTTTTTAAAAAAAAATTTGTGAAAAGCTTAATGTACTGTATTATGTATTAAAGTATTTTGTAGTTAATATTTAGTTTTTTCCATAAAAAAAATAAGAAATAGAAAAAAAAAAGTTTAGGCGGGAAAAAATTAAAGGAGAAGTTGACACTTGTACAATTTGTGAAAAGGAATGATATCAGCGGTTATTATTTTAGTACTCCGTATTAGTTATAGACTAATATAGTACGCGTGCAATTACACGGTTTTGACAGTTCAAATATTAAATCTCACAAAATCGAAACCAAGTTAGTTTAATGCATATATAATAGTGATATTTTTTACATTATTTTATCATTCATTCACAAAAATGTGTATCATGGTATTGCGTATCATAATTTTAATTCAATGTTGAATACAATACATTTAAATTTAGAGATATAAAAGGGTTCATGCATAATTGACCTTTTAGATTAGAATAACTCATGCGAGTTATGCCAATTAATATATCTCATATATTATCTAGAGATGGCAATGGGTCCAGGACCTAACCTAGACCCGGTTAGACCCAACCCATATTTTAGGATTTAGATTGTAAATGGATATAGGTCAGATCTAGGTCAAAGTGCAATGGGTCCCAGTCTGAAAAGTTCAAACTCATACCCATCACAGATCCGACCCATAGACCCGTGATTCTTTTTTATAAAAAAATTACATCTAAAGAATTAGATGAAAGAAAAACCTAAAGAACCTAACTCCAAACTACAACTGCCACTCCTCTAAGGGCTCTAAGTCAAACGGCTCATAGCTCCTACTCTTGTCAAGTCGATTGACATATTATATACTCCCTCCGTTAATTTTTATTTGCAACTTTTGCCATTTTAGTTCACTAACCACTATGTGCAACTTTCTATTTTATTTCTATTTTTAGTACACAAAAACCCTAAAATTACAAATTTACCCTTAATTAAAAATTCTGATTTTAATAATTTTACTAGTGGGTGGGCCAACTTTCTCTCTCCAAACACTTTAATCACTTTCATTTGCTAGTGGGTGGGCCAACTTTCTCTCTTCAAACACTTTAAATACTTTCATTTACTCCCACTAATGTTTGCCCTTTAAATTTTGCCTCGTGAACCGCAAAACCCCCCAAAGTTGCAAATAAAAATTAATCTCATACGTTCAAATAAGATGATCTAATGACTCTCATTATAAGCTTCATTAATGGCAAATTTGTAAATAATACTTTTCTCCATTTCTCTTTCTCCTCCTCATATTCCTCTAGTCCTCATCCTCTCTTTCCTCCCTGTTCATCACTCATTTTCATTATTTTTTTTTCTTAAAGTTCAAAAAAAGATTCAATAACTTATGAAATTTTCCCCATTTCTCTCTCCTCCCTGTTCCTCTCCCTTTCTCTCCTCCCTAATTATCTCTTTTCCCACCCTTTTTTCCTCTCAGATTTCAAAAAAAATTTCATGTTATGATCAATATATTGTTGACAATATATAGTAACAGGGGAATATATCAAGAGTGAAGATTAAATATGCATAACTTTTATGCTATATTTGCATTGTTAATGTAAAAAATGTGCATATATAATTTACAAATTATGTGCATATCTATTAGCAGAAATTTACAAATCCTCTACACTAAATATGCATATTTTTATTAATAACACATATTATTGAATATTCAATCTCTGAATGATTAAGGTATGTCTATTTATGATTTAAAGTCCGGCCAATTGCTTGATGATTTCCATAATTCATCGTATAATAAGGATACGAGTTCGGGAGTGCAATTGACATAAGAACTCACCTAAGTAGCAAAGCTTAGAAATTCGGTCCTTATTACTAGGTTTGCAATTTGCTCATAACCATATTTACTTTATTATCTCTAAAATTAGAAGTTAGAACTTTGAATAAGCTTTAATGGAGGAGGGAGAAAGAATATGTTTCAGTGAAGAAGAAAAAGAAAGTAAAAAAACGAATGTGAAAATTTTTGAATTAAATGTGCATAAATTATATACTAAATGTGCATAAATTTTGTGATGAATGTGCATTTTACAAAATTCCTTCTCATTCTCCTCATTTTAAGATCCTTCTCACTGGATCCCAACCCTATATATATATATGTGTGTGTGTGTGTGTGTGTGTGTATATATATATGTGTGTGTGTGTGTGTATATATATATGTGTGTGTGTGTATATATATATATATGTGTGTGTGTGTGTGTGTATATATATGTGTGTGTGTGTATATACATATATATATATGTGTGTGTGTGTGTGTGTATATACACACACACACAATTAGTCACACAAGTAATAGGATAGTTATAATATATAAAAAATATAAGTGATTAAAAAAATCATAATTAGACCCATTTTAATTTGAACCCGTTTTAGACCCGAGACCCGTTAGACCCAGTGTAGGTTTAATTTACTTAGACCCCCATAAACTATCTTTATAAAATTAAATTTCATTCCTTTATAGAGTTGTCCTCTTTTTCTTGTTTTACCACTATCTATCTTTTATTGGTAGAGTGTTGTGCACAACTTGATTTACCTTCGATCTTAAATCTCAAATGCTATACTCATATTTTCAATTACGTACCTTT